TTGTAACAAGGACACTCCACTGTAGTCCAGGTAAATCAAGTAGAATGCAGTTTATTAAAAGGGCAAACACAAGATAGCTTGAAACAGCAACATAAGACAGTCCTTGTTATGGCTCTGTAGCTTTCCTCAGCTTCAAGACACTCACGCTGCTCACCCCTCGTGAGCCCTCACTCTGCTCTCTTAGCAGTCTGTACCGCAGGTCCTAGGGTCACCGACCTTCCTGACCTCTCCCAGCCACCCCTGGCTGTTCCGTGTGCATCTAGCATGCACCCGAGGTGGTCTGTGTCCGTGTGCTCCCTGCACACACACAACTCCAACACTCCCCTGTGCACTCGGCTGGCTTCCTGATAAGGCTGCTCTCAGCCACCTGATTAGCCCAGGCTGGTCATTGCAACACCTGGCCCCAGGACTGGAGATCTCATCCCACCCAGAGCTCTACGAAATCTCCAGAGCTCCAGATCCCAGCTGCAAATAGGAAAACCTGGAATAACCTGAAAAGCCAGGTTCTTCCTTATAACCTGCTTTACTTTCTGAACCCTCTCAGCCCCTTTGGCTGAGAGTCCTGGGTGCCAAGGTCGCCATCCTCCACCGTGGCATTGGCTTACACTGCCACAATATATATATTACACACACAAATACATAGATCAGGAAGTCTGATATTAATATGGCTGCATGCTTGTCCTAACATATTGACTCAAACTACTAAAATACATCTATATCTTTGTGTCTAAAACAATAGAGGCATTATATGCTTCTAGGTCCCATATGGCCACTTTACTTTCTCTCTGTACCTACAGAAATATTTTTTTAAAAGTATGCAGTACTCTCAGTATGCTGAACTTACTGCACTGCCTGGTCTCTAAGATGCATCAACAGTGCTGACTAGCTCAGCCATTATGTATTTGCCATATAAGCAAATAATTCTGCACAGATCTAATTCAAGTTAATCTGTAATTTTCCCATAGTAAGTAAATCAATGGGTTTACTGTATGAGAGGCACAATAAGCATCCTGTACTCACCTCCCTACATACACATAAACCCCATAATGCGCACACATGCAATCACACACATTAGTCTTTTACATATGGTCCGTCACATCCGGTGAGTGAAATGGGAGAGTAGTGACAGCACGGAAAAATTGAAAATTTAATCATACTCACTGTAATTTTCTTCTCCTGGTTATACTCCATGGCAGCGCTGACAATTGGGTTTAGATCCAATTACCCCTAGTTGACAGGAACAAAAGGGTTAAAGTAAGACATAACCGCCTGCATAAAAGCCCCTCCTCCTGCTGACCTCTTCAGTCTAGTAACAAGCTAAAAACTCCCTAGGGTGGGAGCTCAGCACTGCCATGGAGTATAACCAGGAAAAGAAAATTACGGTGAGTATGATTACATTTTCCGTTTTCCTGGCCATATCCATGGCAGCGCTGACAATTGGGGATTACCCAAGCCAAAAAGTAAGGGCGGAACACAACTTCACAGAAGCAATATAATGCAATAAAATTTATTACGCGACCTCATGTCGAGAAAGCAAAACACTTCTACAAAACTGGTCATTAACTGCGGCTCTGACATCCAGTCTATAATGCTTAATAAAGGTATATTTGGACGCCCACGTAGCCGCTCTGCAGATATGATCTGCCGAAATTCCGGATGCTGCTGCCCATGAGGTGAACATGCCTCTCGTGGAGTGAGCCCTGATGCCATCCGGCGGAGACACTCCTGCCGCTTGATGGGCACTGATGATGATGCCCACGATCCATCTGCTTAAAGTAGTTTTGGCTGCAGCCAAACCTTTCTTTACACCTGTCCACATAGATTCTCAGACATCTGACTAAGTCCAAACAGCCATCTCTCCCTGCTGAGTTGAGAGCAGGCAGAACGATATCTTGATCCACGTGAAACTTGGTATGCACTTTTGGTAGGAATCCAGGCACAGTCCTCAGCACTACCCTATCTTCATGAAACATGAGGAAAGGTTCAAACACAAACAAGGGGTGCCTTTCCTGGTGCAGACAAATTTATTAAGATCAGAATAGAAGGTAAATATAAAACATACTCTGAGGAAAGGTTCATCAGAACCACAGGCTTGTAATTCTGAAACTCTCCTACCAGAAGCTAAAGCTACTAAGAAAACAGTCTTATAGGATAACAGCTGCATAGAAATTGAAGCTAATGGCTCAAAAGGAGGTCCCAAGAGAACCCCCAACACGAGAGGGAGATCCCAGGATGGAAAAAGAGACCTAGCAGGAGGATTGACTGTACTCACAGCTTTCAGATATCTCGAGGCGTTCTTGTTCTGAGTCCATCTGACCCCAGTGATAGCGGATACTTGCACCTTGAGGGAACTGAGGCTCATCCATTTATCCAGACCTGTTTGCAGGAACTCCAAAAGGGATCTAGAAGAGAGCTGGGAAAGGTCCACGTTGCTATTTTTAGCCCACATGGAAAAAACATTCCACATTCGATAATACACTGAGGAAGTGGACCTCTTCCTGGACTTTAAGAGCATATCAATGACTCCTTGGGAGAAACCTGCCTTTCTCAGCCTCTTCCTTTCAACAGCCATGCCGTCAGACAGAGACGCTGTGGATGGGGATGCCGGATCGGCCCTTGATATAGAAGATCTGGCGTGACTGGAATCTGCCATGGTTCCTGAATGCTGAGAGACATCAGAAGGGGGAACAGCGGTCTTCTCGCCAATAGGGGATTATGGCGATCACCGTTACTTTCTCCCTCTGTATCCTTTGGAGCACCGACATGATCATGGCAAAGGGGGCAAGAACATACGCCAGTTCGTAATTCCATGGATGGGAAAGAACGTCTTGGCCTTCTACCATGCGATCGAATCCCCTCGACAAAAACCTGCTGACTTGGCAGTTTCTGTGGGAAGCCATTAAGTCGAACTGTGGATTGCCCCATTTCCACCTCAGGTTGTTGAAGATTTGCTTTGAGAGAGACCATTCCGTGGGATCCATCTGATTCCTGCTCAAATAGTCCGCTACCTGATTCTCCAGACCCGGCAAGTAAACTGCTCTCATGCCTTGCACATTCTGTACCGCCCATATCATGAGAGGAACTACTGCTCGCATCATGCTGCGACTCCTTGTGCCTCCTTGGTGGTTGATGTATGATACCACTGTGGCATTGTCTGCCATTATTCTAACCCATTTGAATTGTATCTGGTTTTGGAAATGGCGGAGCGCCAGGAACACTGCCTGCAACTCCAACAGATTGGACATTTGTCTCACCATCACCCAGTTCACACTCCCTGTGTGTATTGGCTGTCCAAGTGGGCTCCCCACCCTGAACCGCTGGCGTCTGTCGTAATGGTAACCCATGGAATGCTCCCCAATGGGTACCCTTCTCGTAAGTTCCCTTCTTGGGACCACCATCTCAGGGATTGCTTGACCCTGTGAGAAACGCTGATCCACTGCTTCTTGTCTCGATACCTGTATTGTTGGAGAAAGGAATTCTGTGCAATCCTCATGTTCCATTGAGCCCACCGAGTAAGGCCTATGGTTGAAGATATGGAGCCCAGTAGACTCATTAAACAACTGGCCGTGACATGTGTACTCCTTTGGAATGTCCATACCTTCTGCCTCATCTTGTGTACTCTGTCCTTGGACAGTTGTACAGAACCCCGTTTTGTATTGAATTCCGCTCCAAAGTACACCATTCTTTGGGCTGGAACCAGGTTGCTTTTCTCCATGTTCAGAAGCCAACCGTACTCCTTCAGGGTGCTCAGGCTGATATCCCTGTTTGAGATGACCTCCTCTTCGGAGTCCACCAGAATTAGAATATCGTCCAGATAATAAAAGATTATCACACCCTGTTTCCGTATCGTTCTTGGAGCGGTGCTGAGCCCGAATTGCATTCCTCTGAATTGAAAATGTCTCTGATCGACACAAAACCTTAGGAATGTCTGCTGATCTTGGGCAATGGGAACATGGAAGTACGCATCCTTTAGATCTATGGACACCATCCACATATCTGGTCGGACCACTTGTATTATCGTCCGGAGGGACTCCATTCTGAACTTCCTGACTTGTATAAACCTGTTGAGTTGGTACAAGTCCAGAACCGGCCTCCAACTCCCTGTTGATTTGGGAGTTAGAAATAATTGGGAATAAAATCCCTCGAACTATTGACACCTGGGCACCTCCAATATGACATTTGGAACACCAGGGAACATACATAGTTCAGCAAAGCCTCCCTTTTCAGGGAATCCCCGAGAAGTTTGGTCACTAAGAACCTGCCTTTTGGTGGAAAGGCTCGGAACTCCAGTTTGTATCCCTTGGTGATTACGTTCAGCACCCAAGCGTCTGATATCGTATCCATCCAGAGAAATGAGAATAGCTGCAACCTTGCACCCACCCTCATGTCTCCGGGATCAACAGCATCAGAAGGTCTGCTCTGGCCTAAAGTTCTTTGGATTTCTTCCTCTTCCGTTCCTGGAAGGGCCAGATCCTCCTCTCCATGGTGGTGATTGACTAGAATACCTGGCAGGTTTGTAGGCTCTTGAGTCACGAAAGGAACTACTACTCTGGCGAGGCCTTCCTTCCTGATAGCTCCGCCTATTTCTCCTTTCCTGCGGTAGTATGGCTTTCTTGCTCTCGATGGATTTTTTGATATAGCTATCCAATTCTAGACCAAAGAGCATGTCACCTTGAAATGTTAAGGAACATAAGCTATTCTTTGAAGAAGAATCAGCTCCCCATGATCTGAGCCATGACACTCGACGAGCCACAACTGAGGATACCATACCTCTCGCCAGGGACGGAATGAGATCATCCGCTGCTTCGGTAGAAAATTCCGCTGCTAATTTAATATCCTCAATTTTATCCAAGAGCCTGCGTCTGCTGACTCCTTTTTTCATATCTTCTTCCAGATCCTCAATCCATAATTTAGTTGTTCTGTACACAGAAGACAAGGCCACCGCAGGCTGGAGGCCCATTCCTAAAGCCGTATAAGCTTTCACCAAATTGTGCTCCATTTTGCTATCCATCGAATCTTTGAGCGAACCTGCGTTATCTATTGGTAAGGACATATGCTTCCCCAATCTCACCACAGCCGCATCCACTTTGGGGGCTGTGTGCCACGTACCAGCATTGGTATCCGTAATAGGATAAAGGCGGGAGAATCTCCCCTTTGATCCCATTCTCTTTTCCGGTTTATCCCATTCTTCTTTAATACGTTTCTGGGTGATTTTTGCTCACCGGAAAGGACGGACGACTCCGTCTCTGCCCCATAAAGTGTTTGCTTGAGGGAGACAGAACTTCCTCCTGCTCTTTCATACTTAAGGTTTTGCGTACCATGGAAATAAGAGCATCAATCCTCTTGGGTTCCAATGAACCCTGCGTTGAAGAATGCTCACCTCTCTTCTGTCGTATACTCTGAGGAATCCCACCGGGAACTATGTTCTGTGCTCTTGCTGACTCTTCGTCTCTTATGGGAATGCCCGGCCTGTTTCACTCCTTTAGCTACTGCTTGCTGGATGAGATCCAGGATGTCGGGTGATTTGCAAGTGGCGGCTGCCTCTCTCTAAGGCATTTCCCACACAGCTTCTTCCCTGTCATGGCTTTGTCATCACAAAGCTTGACATCTCGCAGATTTCTCCTTCTTTTTCCCTGAGGATGCTGAAGATTCTATACCTACAGGGCTAGACAGAGACATGAACCGTCCATTAAAAGGAAGCTGGTGCACTCTTTTTCTTTCTTTTTTTCCAATTGCCCTGCTTACCTCATCTCCACTGACATGCTGTCCATAGTTAAATCTCCAGAGGCTCTGTCTAATAGAAACTGCAGCACTCTATCTGCTGTCCTTTACAAACGATTTCAAATTTAGCGTTGAAAATCTGCCGATGACGTCACCGCAACAGACTTCGGCGCATGCGCAGAAGCGGCATGAAGCAGTGACTGCCCATACAACGGTGACCGAGGAGACGGCGGGGAGCCTGTAACGACTGACGACATGCCGCTCCAACCAGCAGGTAAGTACCTGTTCTCTCACTAGCAGCAGAGGCCATTAGGGACTAAGGATGATTATGGCAATGGGGGAAACATACCAGCCAGCCATCTGCCTTCCAGACTTCTTTCTCAACAGAGTCCAGCATGATTATTTTCCCTAAGGGGACACCCTTGCTCTGGGGTGTGTCTCGGGGACTTCTCAGGGAAGAGAGGCTGAACTCCCCTAAAGCCACTACATTGCAAAAAAACAACTTCTTGACATAAGTTAAGAACAAACCTGTCCTAGGGGGGACAGGAATAAAAAAGACTGAAAAGGTCGGCAGGAGGAGGGGCTTTTATACAGGGGGTTATGTCTTACTTTAACCCTTTTGTTCCTGTCAACTAGGGTAATTGGATCTAAACCTAATTGTCAGCACTGCCATGGATATGGCCAGAAAGGGGTGTTTTTTTCCACTGCCATTAAAGGGATATATTAGTTTGTTTGTGGATAAATCACTGAAGTGGTGGCTTTGACAGGGGACTTTTTCATGGACATTTAACACTTAAGAACTTTTCTATATAGATATATTTTTTGTATGTTCTATGTATATTTGTTTTATAGGTATACAGTGCACTTTATGTATTGAGATTTTCTAGAGTATTTATTCACTTTTTGCTGTAGGAGGGAATAGGAGCACAGATTTTGTGTACTTTATAGCATGTGTTATTAGAGTGGTAAAAAAAAAAACATATTTAGAATTAATATATGTGAGACATGTATAGACGTGCCAGAGCACAAATGCTTACATACTTAACATATACCTTCTGCACCATTTGTAGAACTCTCCAAATAACATGGCAGGGATGAACAACCCTCCGGGAACACCTCGAGATGACGGAGAGATGGCCGGGAACTTCCTAAACCCCTTCCAAAGTGAAAGCGTAAGGCGTTCATATTTCTAGCTATGTAATATCAGTTAGAAATGGGAGGGCTTACAATATATGCCAATTTGAGCATCAATAAAGTAGTTCACAGTAAGAGGCTATTGAAGGTAGGAGGACTACATGGGTACGTGGCCATGGCTCAATAGTTGTGTCCAGGATATCAGTTGTTATATTTTTTCCTTTCAGTAAACACCCTTTTGAAAACTATACAGGGCAGTTGAACTTAGAATTCCACTTAAGCATTACCTCTATTACAGACAAGAGTACTCTGTCTGGCAATCCAATGGACGTGTCTGGGTTTAGCGGCTGTCAGGAGAACGGTACTTGCCTGACTGCATTGTGCAAAGTGTAAAGTTTGGTGGAGGGGGGGATTATGGTGTGGGGTTGTTTTCCAGGGGTTGGGCTTGGCCCCTTAGTTCCAGTGTAGGGAACTCTTAAGGCATCAGCATTCCAAGACATTTTGAACAATTTCATGCTCCCAACTTTATGGAAACAGTTTGGGGATGGCCCCTTCCTGTTCCAACATGACTGCACACCAGTGCACAAAGCAAGGTCCATAAAGACATGGATGAGCGAGTTTGGGGTGGAGGAACTTGACTGGCCTGCACAGAGTCCTGACCTCAACCTAATAGAACACCTTTGGGATGAATAAGAGAGGAGACTGCGAGCCAGTCCTTCTGACCTCAAAAATGCGCTTCTGGAAGAATGGTCAAACACTCCCATAGACACACTCCTAAACCTTGTGAACAGCCTTCACAGAAGAGTTGAAGCTGTTATAGCTGCAAAAGGGGGGGCAACTTAATATTGAACCCTACGGACTAAGACTGGGATGCCATTAAAGTTCATGTGTATGTAAAGGCAGGCGTCCCAATACTTTTGGCAATATAGTGTACCTTATATTAAAGAGCCAATATAATGTACCTCATAGGTGATCTGCAAAGCCACTGGGCCAAATCTCTATAAGTGTATAAGAACACTCAGATATAAAACCATAAGACCGCCCCAACATATCAAAATGTACAGTTCACTTTTCTGAATTTACAACAAAAACGGAAGGAAATCTTATGATAAATTAATCTTTTTCAATTATGTAGATAAATCCCCCTGGCCTTTCATAGGTTTATTTATAGGGTAATTTTACCCTGTGAAACAATTAAATGAATTTCTACTCTACCAACAATAGCTGTTTTCTCTGTATTTACCATTTCCAGATGCAAATTTTATATTTGTCTTATTTTTCTCTCTTCACAGTACTCACCCAGCATGACAATGAGCGTGTGATAAACACCAATGGATTAAGCCTCTGCAGCGCAGGACTATCACTGTCCAAACAATAAGGATTATAAATTAGTTGTATATTTAAAAGCAGGAAAGTTCTTACTCAGAGGCTCCTCTGCATACTGTACAGAGCAAATGGCTGGACTGCACTTCTAAAGTGACTTTACCTAATGAACAGCAGTGTGCATAGAGGACATTTCATCCACACTTCTGTGACATTCTTTGTTACTTTTCTGCCAAATCCCAGACTGCAGTGACAAGAGGGCCTTTACTAACACAATGTGTGAAGCCTACTTTTCAAATGACCATTTAGCTGCACATCCAAACTGACCAAGAAAGACAATTTCACTTCCAAGGAGGAGCATTGGAAGATTTCCACAATATAATCGGAAATTCATTTGCACCGGGAGAGATATGTTCTTCTAACAATGAAGAGGTTAAAGCCACAAACATGCAAGTTTTGAATTTATTTATTAAGAATAAATACTGGATCATAAGGATACTTAAACTCCTATTGTCTTACCTCCATTTTAGTGTGACAAGTACTTTAAAATGTTTAAGTGTCCATAAGAAGAAAACCTTTATACACGATTGTCCTGTGACATCCCTGCAGGCCACAAAAACCAACCATGTAAAACCCCTAGAACAAAATGGAACTCCGAATTCTATGCCACCTCTATCACTTGGCCATTGCATTCTGGGAACAAGATAAATAGACATTTCTATATAAAAGGAAAAAGAAAAAAAGATTTTAAAAATAGTTGTACATTGCTATGTACAGAATGACATCTTGTTGTGTAATGCATTTACAGGGACAGAGGGATTTTTGTCAGTTTATTTCATTTTTACCATACAGTTTAAAACAAAACGAAAGGAATCTATTTTTTTCCATGTGCACAATATTTCACAAATGTCCCCTCGAGTCTTTTTGACCATTCACAGTTTTCATAGTATCAGGAATTGCTCCAATGTACATATACATTTCAATGGTACTGCAGTTTCAGAATCTAGACCTCATCAAAGGAAATTAAGAAACACAATCTCTCTTTACTGTAGAAAAGCTTCTAGATATAAAAAGTAATCTAGACAGTTTTTCAGAGGATACATATCAGAAAAAAAGGAGATGGCCTTGTAATAATTTTGCAAATCTGAAGCAATAGTTTAAGGCTGTATGCAATAGTTAAAGCAAAATAGTAAAATGCATTCCGTAAATTAACATTATAAGATCCCTATCCATATTGGGAATGGAGCATGAAGTTGGCTAATTATATGTTCTTTAGACCTAACTTGTGCAAGGTTTAGAAGAAATAGAAAGAGACATGTGCTAGGAACATTGTCAATCTTTCACTTAGCGGCCCATTTCTAATTATATTGTTGATTCTCTACTAAATGACTAAACTGAAATGGAATTAAAAGTCAACGCCACCCAAAAATTTTACTTCAGTGTTACATGATTGGCTATCTAGCTGAATTACATGCTACTTTTTGTACAGCGGGCATGGCCTATAAAAAGCCAAATATTGGTGACACATTGTCCAATATGTTGACTCTAAACAGACAAATACTAACAGGGTTCTTCACTAAAGGGTGAAGAGTTTGGAGAATGCAGGAGAAGGAAACAATCTAGGACAACATAGCTGAACTGGAAAGTGAGCTGAATTGAAGAACTTTTCCAAATCAACTATTTTGGCCTAGATTGTTTCCTTCTCCTGCCGCCTCCAAACTCTTCACCCTTTTGTGAATAATCCTTTAGATAGGAAATCAGCTGAGAAAGTGGTACCTTCTTTTGGTATTGTGTGTGGGGCAAAGACACAAAAACAACAGGATGAAGTTTTACAACTGTAGTATCAAATGACATGACAAGGTAGCTAGTGATTGAACTTACCTGTGCCCAGCCAAAACTGAAGTATAAGCTTTGTGTGGTTTATTTAATGCTATCTAGTGTAGTTGAAGATGCTCTTATCCTACATCCCTGCATTTGATTTGTAGCTAGATTGACTGGCCTGCCAGCAACAATATGAAATAAGGTATAATGTGGCTATGATAACGCCAATCTGACATCTTAAAGTAAGCCTTTCTTAAGAGAAATATGGGGCGGCCATTGTTCAGTCACTGTCCTGAAACAATAATGAAGATGAGTAAAGGCAGAAGTCTTATCTGCATACTTCTTCTAGAATAGTGTTTCAAAGTTTTGCACTAAGAGGGTCAGCATGGCAGCTGGGCAACAGGTCAGCAGTAGTAGCCTCCATGTCTCTATCTGGAAAAGTTTCCTTGTAGGAAGGCAAATTAATTAAAAAGGGGATTTTTTGGTAACACTAGTTTTTAGCACACATGATTACTAATATTGGAAAATGTTTCCATCCCTGTCAAACCCATGCTTGTGTCTTCCAGGCAGTCACATCTGCTTGTGTTGTGACTTGATTGAATCAGGTTTGCTAATGTGTGTTAGTACTACCAAATAACCACCTGTAGACAAATAAAATATCATAACAATTAGCAACAAGGATACATATAAATATAAATTAATTTACTAAACCTGCCCTCTCCTGTAAGTCATGGCCCCTTTACATAACCCTTTGGAATTAGGATAGTCTATCCTAGATAATGATGATAAACCATAGAACACAGATATGTAACTAGCTATAGAGGAAACAAAATAGATTGAATAGTGTTGACATGTATTCAAATTGAGCAGCATTATCAGGAAACTCTAAACACATTTGTAATTAGCCATAGAGAAAATAAAAAAGATTGAGTGTTTCCACGTGTATTTAGATTGAGCAGGATTATCAAGAAGCTCTAAACACATTATCTCAATTTTATAAAAGAAAGATATTTTTCTAATTACATGGGATATAGATGGAGCTTCCACTAATTTTTAGCCCATAGCGTTCTAGTAGTAGCTGGGTACAGGCATCTTTTACAGTCTGTCCTAACATGGAATCTGAGCTCTGTATTGGATTGATTATTTGTTTGACAAATCCTTAGTAAGAGAGACAGCAAGACAGAGGTCACCGGGTTATTTTTGATATTTTGATTAAAATTCCAAATGTGACCAGAAATACAGTTCCCAATAGTTCCCAATGGAAATTAATAAAAATGAATTTTGAGACAAGCCAATCAACACATAGTACATGATACTACTGGCAATAGTAATCATTCTTAAGTAAAAATTACATAGTTGCAACAGTCTGATATTGCTGTTGCAAACAATTATGCATTTTAAAAAATGCTTCCATAAAAAACATGTTATAATACAGACTTAAAGTGACTCAGTCATTACAAAAGTATGGAGGGCTGCCATTGCTGGTTGCTTGTCTGTGCCTTGCTTTAGTACTTTTTAATACCTTTGAGTCAAAGACCCGGAACAAGCATACTGTGAAAACGCTTCAGAAAAGTATCAGAATATATTATCTCTATAAATGTCCAAATCAAGGCCTCAGGCAGGGAAAATGCAAAGTCAACAGCAATAATTGTGTATCACAGATTTATTGTGAAGACAGCATCACATAAGTCAAAAGCATATGCATGTTTCGGGGCTTGCATAGTTCCACAATGCTTATAGTAACCACTATGTCACTTTGGGAAGGGACTCTGTCGGGCCCCAACATGTCATTATGCTTTCACTTGTACTTGTGCTTTCACAATAAATCTGTTATATGCGTTTATGTGAAATGCTGGTGATTTTGTATCCTATCTGGTCTTGGTACCATCACTATCACTTTGAGCACCCACTTATTTAAAGGTCTGGAGGGCAGCTTCATATTTGGACTTTGTGAAGCCTCAGACAGCACTGAAGCCATTACATCAGCATGACAGACAGTAAGCCTACATTCTTAAAGGGGAGGTCAGCATGGCAGCACCTATACTTTTCACATGAAAGAGGGACTTTAAGGGTCAAATCACAAAATAATAATACTGTATGTTATATTAATGGTGTTCATCGTTTTATCTCTGAATAATTTTGTGATCAAAACATTTAATTAATTTACCAAAATACTGCATAATTGCATAATCCTTTTTTCTTCTCAGGAGTCCTTATTTGGTCTCCACCAAAATGGCTCCTTTTTCTACTCTCCTCATAAAATACCTCACAATTACTGCTAACCAGAAGATAGCAGTATTTTAAGGAGCAAAACCCCCTGTGAATGTGAATTGACACGACACGACACAAAAAAACAGCAAAAATCAATAATATGATGTGTATCCCTGCAATAAAATGTTAAGTGAGTCGAAAACATTTTTGTATGATAAAAGTTAACAACACTCATCAATGAAAATAGCACATTCATTGCTTTAGTGAATATAACCCTTAATATTGTACTTTTCCAAAAATGCTACATTACATTGATACGTCACCTTGCGGAAAGAACCCTGAATCCATATGCTTTTGACTTCTGTCTTCTTAATAAATCTGTAAATCTTGGATTACTGAAAGAGCTGAATGTTATGCCAATCATCAGGTGTCCTTAGAAAAATACTGAAAATGTCAAAGTGATTTGGTTGAAACAAAACACTGATGCATACAGGCCATGGTATGTCCATGAGATCTACTGTGATTCTAGAGGTCTATTAGTTGTTGTGATAGTTGTTACATGCATTACCTTGGCAAAAATTGCCGAACTGAGCATAGCAGTTAGATATTATTACAATTTGTATGACTGTTACATTACACTTCCTCTAAGGCTGTCCCTTCAATTGCAAATGTTGATCTAAGCACAGGGAAGGGAGGTAATGATAGCCATAGCAGCAATGCTACCCTCCCATACTTCCCTCCGTTAACTGGAGGTTGCAACTGTTCCTAAGCTTTTAGTATACACCAGATAGCTAATGGATTTGGCAATATCATTGATTATTGGTGACTATCCCATAGCTGTCTATGTCATGGCGGTAGGTGCATTTTCCAGCAAGGACAGGGGTGGGGCTTTAAAAAAATAGCTACATTACTTTGTTAGCATGAGCGTAAGTCCCCAAAATAGATCCAAAACCCTATTGTCTTCTTG